GTGAGTGCAATCGCTCACAGGGTCCTCCAGGGTGGCGTCTAAGGTAGGAGGAAGGTGAGGCCCCTTGAAGAAATGCAGGGAGAGATTTCAGTTTCTCCCTTCCCTTCCCTGCACAGTGTTGGCCCGTGCAGCCAGTACCCTCTCAGCAAGAGGCTTTTCACTTCCACCGAGGACAGTGCCCGGGGTTCTTTCAAGCTTGAAGCTGGATGGGTCAAGTGAACTCACCTTTCCCAGCCTGGCAGCGGTGCGCCTGGAGGACCCAAGAGGGCGGGAGGCGTGCACAGCCATTACCTGTCCCACTTGTCTCAACACCCCTGCCAATGCATCCTCTACCCCACCCTAGCACCCCGCGACACCACCACTAATCATTATAGGGACTGTGTAGGGGCCAGCAACGTCACAGAAGAAATGAACGGAGTAAGCAAGGATCTCAAACTAACACACCCCGAAAGAATGGAGGGGAGCAAAGGAAGGCGCACCTTCGGGCCTTTATATATCAGCCCTGCCACTTGTAGCGGCGCTCCACGGCGTTCCCCAACCATAGCCCCGCCCACAGAGAGGAGCCGGCAGTGGTGATTGGTGGGTTCAAAAGTTCAACACCAGCTCCACTGTCCTGAGGACACCACTGCATCCAGGTGAGCAAAGCCCCAGCAAAGTCAGGTTCCAGGTGAAGTCGGTGAGGACCGTGCCCCGGGGAAAGCACCACCCTCCCCGCGATCCACTCCTTCAAGACGGTCAACTCTCGGGAGGAGGGCCCCGCCCACGGATCTGGTCCTGTTGGGGCTGCAGGTGCTGGTGTGGGTGCAGGTGTGTGCAGCTGAGGCATCCAGAGAAGACTGCTTCCCGTTCTTGGGCTTAATGATCACCCAAGGGCTTTACACCTGCATTCTCACTTTTTGGTTGTCTTTCTTTATGTGTCTTCCTGTCTCCTCTTTCTTACTATTAGGTGCAATGGATTTTTCAGTTTTTTTCATCATAACAGCTGCCATTTTCTTTCTTTTTTATTTTAATGTAATACAAGTAGATATTAATAAAATATTTATTAAAAAGCACTCTACTTAGTTTCTTGAAAAAATAAAATTTCATAGCCAAATAATTAGAAAATAACAATAATTAATATAGTGTGTGCCCTGTTGCAGATAAGAGACCAGTGGAG